CTATATTTAACTATATTATACTATTATATGTATAGGAATACCTATATTATAAGAATCAGGTGAAAATTACATTTGTACAAATTATTGTAGTCAATGGCCCTTAGCCGCTGAGACATTTGTTTTCAAATGAAAAAAAAAATTCTGACCATAACGATTGACCGATAATGGTGAACTCCTAGAATACAATACATCAATCCATATTAGATATCCGATTATTTATGATACGATCGACCGATAATGGTAAAATTTATTTTTATAACGATCGACCTATATTTCTAGAAAGATCGACTGGTTGGACAAAGAACCCCTGCAATAGATGATCTTAAATTATTTTTTATTAGTTTTATTATTTATATTTATGTTTTATGTACTTATAACCATTATCCATTCTATTAATAAAAATGTTTTGTATAAAATTGAAAAATACCTACCTACTTATTAGATTTTCTTATTAGGGATTTTAAATTATATAATTTACCTAAATACATAATTTTTTTAGCTTGGGTAAAAAAATTGTGCATGCTGTAAGTCTGATAAATTTTTAGTATTTTTTATCTTCAAGTGAGCAACCAAAAAAATATAAATATTAGGAAGCTAATGTAATATAAATTATAATAGCAATAGTTTGGAGTAAAGTGAGAAAAAAATTATTGAGTCAGCAAATTGATAGGTGAACCCCCCCTCCATCCACACACACACACACACACACACAAGGAAATGTTGTTGGGGACGTTCCTGAGAATGACCACTAATAATAAAATAAAGTTTTTTATAAAATAATGTAGCAAAGTAACTTTATAAACCATATGAATTTTATATTTTATTGTTTTTTGATTTTGTATTCGACTTTTAAAATAAACAAAAAAATGTTGTAAATTTAAATGATGTTTGAATTATTTTGAGACAATATTTAACAAATTGATATGTCATACCCTCAAAAATATTATTCTCATCATTTTTACTTTTTGTGATGGGTGATTTTACTCTCAGATTACTTAAAACATGAAAAACAAATGATTTGACGTAAATGCGATTTGTCTATATTGCGGGTAGGCCAGAGAGAGAAAACCAATTGTGAGCTGACATCCTCTTAAGAAAAAATATTAAAATAGAACTAATGTAATAATGTAATTTTTGTTTAAATTATTATAGTATATTTATTTGAATTACAACAAGAAAGAATATTAACTACAATTTATTAATAATGGAAATCACTTTCAGTAAAACATGTCATAATTGAAAAAAAAATAAGTATACAATTAAATTAAACTGATGTTTACTATTACAAAAGAATTATAATATATAAATGTAATATTAATACATTTAAAATAATGACTAGAAACCAAAATTTTTAGTAATTTATAAGTACATATCTGAACAGCTACAATAAAAGGAACCAATAAATAGAGTAGTATTATGATAATGGAATGCTTAAAAATATAACACACTAGTGTATTAATGTTTAAACTATATCATAATTTTTTTTTCTTATTATATATAGTTTACAACCTATTGTTTTACTTGACGTTCGTTCATGTCAATAATAGACAAATTTATACTAGCCACATAACAATGAATTAATGATATTAATGTTTTAACAAGCATTATTGGACTTGAAAACCAGCACAATAACTTAAATAAACCATGACCTGCAACTAAAAAAAAAAGTTCATTACAATCTGTATTACTTATATTTTATTTTTATTAGTACTTACTAATTGGTCCTGTAATAAAATGACATAGATATAATGATGCAAAAAATAGTTCATTTCCTGCACACATGAAAAACAGTACTGGTTTTGATGTGTAATACCATTTCATTATTGGATTTCCAGACATATCGACAAACTTATGGCTAGTTTTACCTTGCAAAATTGATCTATTAAAAACAAATTGACTTAGTTATGTTCATTAAAATGCACTTATAACTGTATATGTATTACGAGTGTAAGTAGATCCAGTGACAAGCAATATCAATGATACAGCTAAGTTGGAACAAAAACATATATTTTGGATAAAAATTAGACAATGCAATACATAAGCTCATTGTTCCACAACGATCAGTTAGTTGATCTAGTATAGCCCCAAATTTAGTACCTGAAAAAATTACATCATAAGGCACATTTAAGATTATATAAATAAATAATAAATATAATATATTAAATTAAATATACATTTTTATAAACTAAAGAAAATACATTATCTAACATTTTCAATCCATCAATAATTACAAACAGTAATTAGCAACATTAAACTAACTATAAACTGATTGTATTTAAGTTAAACTTCCATGGTATCTTACTTTGGTTAAATGCTCGAGCTGCATGACCATCGAAAGCATCCAATAATGCACTTATCACATAACAACTGCAAGCAACTTTGTAATTGGTTGGCATAAAGTAAATTGAAATGACTGCTAGAATTATTCTGGCATATCCTATGGAATCAAGCAAAAATCAAATAAACCTACTAATATATTGGTACATAATTTTAATTTCAAACCTAATTGAAATATAAAAACATATATTTATTAGGTAGTTATTATTTGAATCACTTTAGTACCCTAATATAACCCGATTAGTCCCAAAACCCAGTTTCATAAAAATGAAAATAACTTTTCCAACTAGTAGGGTTTCTATTGATTCCTATAATTTGCAAAGAAATTAAAAACTATTTCAAAAGATGGAAAATTCGGGATTCTTAAAAAATATGTAAGCAATAAAACATTATTCTATATTTTTGGACAAGTAGGGTTTCTCAAACGACTGATTCATTTATATTTAAAAATTACTAGGTACCTCCTGTGAATTATTTAAGAATCTATTCATGGGTAGTAGGTACATATTTTAAAATATATTATTTTTTTTGCTGAATGAAATATTACTCGAGTTGATACAATATGCAGTAACTATTTAATAAAATATGATATAAATTAGTACAACAAACACAGTACGCATACTGTATTGGTGAGTTGGCATTAAAATTACTTGTTAGTAGATATTGATGCTATGTAAACAATAATCTATAGTAACTTACCAATTAAATTTGGCACAAACAAAAAGATATTTTCTTGTTTACCCATTTTTAATTGAATGTATTTAATACAATGTTGTAAAAAGTATTATAAAAGTTATAAAAATTTAAGCTTCAATCAATGTAAAACTCTTGGTCAGATGTAGGCAGTTACGATGTGTTATTATAAAGACTATTAATTTAATTAAATCGTAATAAGTAGGTGCTACAATAGGCAATGGCACAGCAGTCGTCGTTGTACAAGTGTATACTGTACAACACTACAACACTACAACACGTAAAAGTTAAATTGGCGTATGCAATTTGCTACACTACTGCCGTCTGCCGGCTGACGAGTCCTGATCAGTGATCACTGATGAGCCATGGCCGATGAGTGGCCAAGTGTTCAGTGGGATACTTCAGTAATTGACACTTGTACAACTTCAAACTTGACCGAGACGCCGAATATCGACACAGTGCTACGTAGTTATGGTGGTGTACGTGATAAGGAGTGGGGATGCGCGAGAATGACCGAATTTCGTCGAGACGCGGTACCTTTCATTCATGACACCACGATGTGGATTGTGGGTAGTGGGTGCGGTGTATATACTATATAGTATTATAGTCATGGTCCATGGATTAGTATATTATACTTTATACTATATAGTGTAGTCACTTCCTATCTATGATGGAAACATTTTGAAATCGTTTTTTGTAGGTATTTAATGCGGGAACTGTCCGCCATAAATCGTAATTGGTCCACTGCAAAATACTATATAATATTAAGTACCACATTTGAGAACTTATAATTTATATAGTTATATTTATATCTATTCTGTGTACGTACTGACCGTGTACCCGGCACCCAAGGTTTATGTATACTAGCATAATCTATAAACCTTGCCCGACACGAGCGTCTGTGGATGTGGATAGTGATTAGTGGATGACGTTACGTTTCAGTATATAAAATCAGATACGACCTATTTCCTAAATATATATATAAATGTATAATGTAAATAACTTTGTTTATTTCCATTTTTAGTTAATTTTTGACCGCCGAGGCATATTTTGCATTTTAATACATAGAATTAATTTAATTTAATCTATTCTGTGTTTAATACTTCAAGATCATATACTTCAGGGCTCAGGCTTTCGCTCAAATACCTAAATACTTACCCACCCCCAATCACTTACTCATGTGGCAGAAATAAGAGGGGGTAAAGGAGCGTCACCTTCCCCCCTGGGAAGTCTTTTCAACGTTATATTTGGCTAAACAATAAGGTAAATTAATTTTAATTTTTGAAAAACAAAAAAAACTGGGTGACTTCTGGATCTGCTACTGACCCACTATGGCACTGATCTACGTGAAAAAAATGTTTGACCGTCGTATTTCGTAAACATAACTGCATAAATTTAAGAAAAAAACATTTGCTAAAAAAAGGGTGTACGGTATACTAACCAAGTTTCTAAAATTCAATATATTATACAGAATATTGAAATATGATTTAAGGCCGGCCACCGGCAGTAAATTGTTGGCGAGTGGCGACATATTATTTTGGCGGTTGTTTGTATATTTGAAGTTACGGCCAAGAATTAATATAAGAGATATTTCAAAATCAAACACTAAATTTTATTTAATGAAAAATTTAGTGTGATTTTACCACTTACCTGTTGGATGAATAATAATTGTAAAGAACTAATATTTTCAATAATTTCTTGTTATAGTCTTATTTAAAATTTATATAAATTACATTTAAGATTGTTACTCCATGAAAAATAAATGTCAAAGAGAATATAAAAACATATTTATCATTTTTTTAATATGTTTCTAACTTCATATTCAACTGTATTTATGATTTCTCTCGAAAAGTGTTATGGAAATTCTCACGAGGATCGTCTTTCTTAATTAATATTTCTTACGGTTTTTGTACTGCCTGCAATCTTGAAAATTTATCTTTATAAGATTCTGACTAAAATAAATAAGAAAAATGCCGTCAGGTCAACCCTTACCGCCCAAAGAAAATTCCTTATTTAAACGAATTCTAGTAAGTATTTTATTATTTTTCTATCATACAAACATTAAATAGGTTTCATCGTAATATAGGTAGTAATTATTTTTCCTTTTTACCTATCCTTAAATTGTTTTTTTTTTAAATTTTACTGTTAATATTACTTGATTTAACTTATACCGATTATACTTTATAATTTAATTTGTACCCACTTGTTTTATTTTATTTTAGAGATGCTACGAACAGAAACAATATAAAAATGGACTTAAATTTGCAAAACAGATTTTGTCGCATCCAAAGTTTTCTGAACATGGAGGTAATTCATTTTTCATGCAATTAAATAACACATTTAAAAACTATGATTTGTTTAGAAACTTTGGCTATGAAAGGACTTACTTTAAATTTTCTTGGCCGAAAAGATGAAGCATATGAACATGTTCGACGGGGTCTTCGTAATGATCTCACTTCACATGTTTGCTGGCATGTTTATGGTCTATTGCAAAGATCAGATAAAAAGTTAGTTTGAAATATAAATTATGCACATATAAATTGTTATCTTAGTCTAGTATTAATGGTTTTTAATTTACTATCAAATGTTTTTTTAGGTATGATGAAGCTATTAAATGTTATAGAAATGCGTTGAAATGGGAAAAAGACAATATACAAATTTTACGAGATTTATCACTGCTACAAATTCAAATGAGAGATTTGGAAGGATATCGAGTAAATATAAATATTATACTTACATTTTTTGGGTTAAGTTTATTTTAATTAATTTGTTTGGAAATCTTGGTTGATGTTTTCTTCAGTGGTTATTTAACATTAAATTTAAATTTAATTAATTAATTATTTGTTTGAATTTAATATTTTTAAGTTTAATAACCCGTTGACTAATATGTGACTGCTGGCTGTAACACGATAAGTATTATCGGTTTGCCAAGCATATTATTCTGTCATTCTAAATTTATATATACTATTTTATTTCAAAAATATATAAATAATTAAAAATAATATGTTTATTACATCAAACAATTTGTAATGATTCCCGCTATGCCATTTTTTTTAGTGCATTATTGTATCTTAAGAGGTACGAATAGTATTGAAAAAATCTATAAAAATGTACTTTTGTATTTCCAATAATATGGTTTATTAAGTGGTTTGAGAGTAAAAACACATATTATCAATATTGTTGAAGAGAAGTTAATCTGTGCCTGTATAGAAGTCAAATTTTAATATTTGTAATTACTAATTACTAAACTCAATAATTCAAATTCAAAAAGTAAAATATCATAAGTTTTAGAGTTAAATATTGGACATTGAAAATAAAATATCGAAAATCGACTCCTATACAAGCCTAGATAAACTCCTTCTCTTCAATTTGTATAATAGGTGTTCATACTGTAATGTCACTCAGTAAGCTATATTATTGGAAATACGAAACTAAGTTTCAGTGTTTCACTAAAATTCACATTTGTAATTAGTGTAAAATGTTCCGTTAATGACATGTGCGTGCACGTGCGGGTGTGCTCCACTATTTATTTTATACACAGTCACTCACACTAATAATCACTTACTACGCACACATTTACACGACCCGCATGCACACCATTAGAAAATTGCCTATACCGAACTCCTTAGAAACGGTCGGTATGCATACCCCTTAATGAAAAAGTTAATAATATAAAACAGTGTTTCCCAACCGGTGGTCCGTGGGCCAGTCATAGGTGGTCCGCGGTACCTTTCTTAGTTTTCTATTAAAAATTATTTTTTTTTTTTAAACAGCGAAAAATATTTTATTTTACCGTAATATACGGTTATCTTATCGTATACAAAAATCACACTAAGTAAATTATTAGTAAAGTTTAATAATTATATATAATAGTACAGTAAAATAATAAAAATTTTCCAATACATTTTTGTGTATTCTTGTTAATGAGCAAAAAAAAAAAAGTCTTCCTGGTTTGCGTAAAGTTGAGGTGGTCCGCGACCTATAAAATATTGTCAAAGTGGTCCGTGGTGGTAAAAAGGTTGGGAAACACTGATATAAAACCATATTAATTTACGGTCCCCAGTGGTCATGGGGGTAATGATCAAGCATGCGTGCTGGCAGTCAACATGTTAAATAATTTCTAAAGAGTATTTACCATAATATTACAAATAGTATATATTATAGTTTAAGTTCACCGATTTAGAGAATACTGAATGTTTTGACCGAATTAGGTTGGATTGAAGCAGGACTTTTGAGAAACAATACATATTTGAAATGCTTAGTTATCCTTGTTGCACATGTGCAATTCAATTTATTTTTATAAATATCAACACCTATTTTGGTACTATATTTGAGTTGGCCTATTTTTCCAATAAGACTATTTTCAACTATTGAACTATGGCACAAAAATTAAAATATATTAAATGAGATTTGAAAATTGAATTAATTTAAAATAGAACTATCATTCAATAAATTATTTAAATCCATTAATTTTGTTTGATTGTTTTGTGTGTTTATTTTAAGCATTTTGTTGTAAAATGTGCTGAATACTAAATAATAAATATTATCTTACTATTTAAGTAATTTATTATGATATTACAATTATTAAAACAATAATTATTTACAGAGATGTGAATTTTTATTACACTAAAAAATTAATTAATAAAAAAAATGAGTAGGATTAAATTTTACATGATTTTCATTTAATTTTGATTTTAGAGCCATAGTTGTTGTCAAAATTACTTGAAAAAAATAGTCACCGAAATATGGTATTATGGAAAAAAAGTTTTGCTATGTTAAAATATATAAGTTCAGTGCTCATGTCCATAGCATATGCAGAGGTTACAATATCATAGATTCCTAGAAATGTTTATTTAGATAACGCCTAGATTCTTAAAAAATTCTTCATTCAGTCCAACTACATAACCGGCACAATGCTTGAGTGTTTCCTAAATTGGTGAACACACTGTATACTAAAGGGAACTGTTATATTATTAAAATTTGCCCTAATTTTCTTAACAGTAGGCATATTATTAATTACTGGTAAAGCTTTAATCTATATCTATTCCACAAATTTTAATATGCTGTTAGATTTGAGCTGATTTATTTTTCATTAGTAATTACTAATTAATAATTACCCAACCTTAAATAATAATACCTATAACTACTGAATACATAATTTAAGGGTTAACTAAATGTATTAATATTGCAATCCATATTTTGGTGATTTACCTAATATATAATATATAAAAAAAATTTGATTTTTGTTGCTTCATATTTTTCCTTTAAAAGTGTTTTCATACCAATTTTTCTTAAATAATTAAGTAATTAGTTTATTTAGTTTTCTTCAAAACAACTATATTTTGTATTTGTTTGTAAATGGTAAAAACAATTAATGAGACAGACAAATAAGAGATTAGTAAGTTGTGGTATCAATCTATCCAATAATAGATGTTAAGCCATTTATGAATAGGTTTTGTTATAGTTATCAAAATATTAAGTAATTAGTTATTTTTATCCACTATACATGTTACATGTAGCAAAATTTTCCTCTTTCCTTTTACAAAATCATACAACTATACTCTGTTCAGCGAGAGAGCACACCAATTCTGCTCATCCCTCCTCATCACAATGCTATCGAAACCGGTTCCTCGATGGCAGGGTGTTGCATGGGGGAACCAGTTTTCATCGGTGCTCGGCGCAGTCTCTCGCTGAACCGAGTATAAATATTGAATGTGATACATTTTATGTATCCTTGACATACATATAACATTCAGAACTATAAATTACTTTTGATTAAAAACTGTCTGTGGAAAGTAATATTTATTTTTTTAACATAAGCATTTATTGCTGTGTGGTGTCTTTTAATTAATTTATTTTTTAGTATCTTAAATTATTTTATTTTTCCCTTAGGACACAAGATATCAACTGTTCATGTTGCGGCCAACTCAAAGAGCATCGTGGATTGGTTATGCAATGGCATATCATTTATTAAATGATCATGATATGGCCTTGAAAATTTTGGAAACTTTTAGGAAAACACAAATGGTTTCTGTAAGCTATTATTTTTATTATTCCTACGTAAATTTAAACCTAATACTATGGATATTTAAGTCTTATTATTTTTTTTTTACATTCCCTAGAATCAATCCCTTTAACTCTAAATTATCACCTCTCATTCTTTATATACAGACATCAATTACCTTAATCGGTAAAATTGTTTAATTCAACTAATGTGGGTCCCTAGCCATATGGGCATATATGGAAACAAAGTCTACCTCCAACACAATTTTATCTTCTTTTGCTCAATTATCTTGGACCAATTTTACTCCAATCTGATGTTGTCACACAATACACAAACTACTGTAATAACTTACTGGCCAACTTTGTTACCAAATACAAAACGAAAGTTTATTAACAGTATTCCTAGTAAAAAAACTTGGTTTAACAACTGATTTACCAAGATCTACTATTGTCGGTTTCAACTGACTCTGTGTGGGTCATTCGCTTCTACGTAATCACTTTTAGACTTGATTTAAATTACTCTCCTCTTTGCACACTACACTTAACTGAAAGCGTTTGCGACTTCTCACATTTACTCTTAGGACTGACCCTCATTACTTACCAACCAGGGGCGTAGCATGCATGTAAGCACTGTAAGCACTGCTTACACTTTAAATGAAAGAAAAAATAAATTTGATCAATCACGACTAATAGGTACATAATAAATGATTTTTAAAATTTTAACTACTGATTACCAACTATTTTAAGAAAAACATCGATTGTAGGTCTATTTTTAATCCATTCTGTATTATCATTATGTTAACTGCATAATCATAATACGATATACAGTGTAACACATTTTGAAATTGCTTACGTGCAACTGTTGTTTTCGAATAGTCTATAATGCCAAAGTGGGGATCACGTATTTAACTAGCGTTTGTAAGCGCATTTGATTTTTCTTACTCGAGAAACAAGGAGCGACCAGTATGTAGCCCGACACGTTGTAGACTGTAGTCGTTTTTACGTACACTGTCACTGTCATTCGCCTAATAGACTTCTGAAGTATTTATACTTCAATTTCTTTATTTTCTCGAATTTGATTTGTACAACTAGTATATTTTTAAAAATTTTAAAAGATAACCTTTTTTATACATAATTTATAATTAGGTATTTAGGTATAGTGCCTATATTCTAATCACTTTTGAAAAAAAAATTTCACTGCTTACATCTTTTTAATACCCACGCCACGCCACTGTTACCAACCCTATATTTTTGCTCAGTTACCTGAAATCTCTGAACATTCCATCCAAACCTCTTCTCTATGCTTAATATTAAATCATAAGTGGTCATCAAAAAATTGATTTTTTATTGGTAGTTAGTTTCATTATTTAATATTTGTATTTGTTTTTTTAACTGTTATAATTTTCTATTACTTTAAATAATTTATAAGTTGTCATAGTCACTGACTAAAAGCTAATAAAAAAAAAATTTATGAGTTGGGAAAATAATAAAAATTTGATTTAATCAAATTTTGAATTGTTATAATTAAAAGTTCATATTTGAAAATATTGTATTGGGTATGCTTAAATATCGCGAACTTGTGTTATTATTTATATTTTAATCATTGAGTCAATTATGTTTTTGTCTATGAAAAATATTAGTAACATCTAATTTTTGTACTTAGGCCCCATTTGATTTTGAGTATAGCGAACTTCTTTTGTATCAAAATATGGTAATTCAAGAATCCGGTGGAGTGTTGGATGCCATCAAACATTTAGATATGTATAAAGAAAATATTTTTGATAAATTAACAGTCCTAGAGATTTATGGTAAGTTATTAATTGCATTTTTCTGATTTATATTTTAATTTAGTTGATGTATCATGAGACATTTGTTGTCTCCGTCTTATACATGTGTAATATAGCAAATGTACGCTAATCAGTTCACCTTTAACTTTGTTAGTTTAAAAATTAAAGTGAATCATATTATTATGAAACTTGATGGTGAGAACATTATCTGTGTTTGTATGTAGGTTTTTAATGATGGTTCAGTTTTTTAGGAAGTTTTGCGTATATAATATAGCAGAAATTACAAATTCTCATAGAAACTCACTTAGAAACTGAATTATCATAAAAATACTGATTATGTTCTTAACATCAAGTTCCATAGTAGGTTGATTCACTCTACTTTTTTAACTAACAAAGCTAAATGTAATCTGCTGATCATAAATTTTCTATGTTTTGCACTTATAAGACGAAGACAACAAAATCCCGTGTTATGTCCTCTTAATTTCAGTATTTTACAAATTTGATTTATATCAAACAAAATTTCATTTTTCAAGTTTATATGTCTTATTTTAGGTTCATTATACTTACAAATGGGAGAATATCATTTAGCTACATTGTGCTATGAAAAATTACTACGAAGAAACCAAGAAAACACACCTTACTATTTAATGATTAAAGAAGCTAAGCAATTGCATAATGATGAATGTGTTTATAATATGCTTTGTGGTTATCGGAAAAAGTTTCCTAAAGCATTGGCTCCTAAACGATTATGTTTAACTTTTGCATCAGGTATGTTAATTCTTCTTAAGTTCTAGCCATCAAAACTTTTTAATAATTATTCATGTCATTCAATTTAGGAAATGCATTCCAAAGTGAAATTGATTCATACTTAAGAGCTGGTTTCCATAAAGGTGTTCCACCATTATTCGTAGATTTACGGTCATTATATAAGAATAAACATAAAGTACAAATAATAGAAAGTCTATTAGAGATGTATGTAAATAATTTGACAAAGTTCAGCTCATTCGATAGTGAAGGTATGGTATTATTTTTCTTAATAAATAAAACCATAATAGTAAGTTTATTTATATTTAAAATAAAGTTGTGTTCTGTTTTATCTTGCATTAAAATTTTTTTCTTAAATCAGTTAAATGTCAGAGGGGATGATAAACTTTTCGAATTTGCCTACTCAAAGTTCTTATGAAGGCAGATTTGAAGTTACACCTATCCCTAGATTAAACAGATTATCATACATAATATGATATTATTATGATTCGTATTTAAGCTTGATCATTTTTAACTGATTGATTCATGTAAATATACTATAATGTATCATATTCGCATTTTTGTTTATTTTAGATACTTCCTGTAAAGAACCTGCTTCTGCATTGCTGTGGGTCTATCACTATTTAGCTCAACATTATGATTACCTTGATGATATACAAAAGGCATTGACTTACATTGATATGGCAATTGCACACACACCAACTTTAATTGAACTATTTGTCACAAAAGGAAGAATATTTAAGGTATTATTTAATTTTTTTTATTTTTTTTGCACTATGTACTGTGTAATTATTCGACAAATTTGTGTTAATTAGCATGCTGGTGATGCATATGAGGCATATAAATGGCTAGATGAAGCACAAGGCTTGGACACAGCTGATAGATATATTAATTCAAAATGTGCAAAATACATGTTGCGTGCAAATCTTATTAAAGAAGCAGAAGAAACATGCTCTAAGTTTACAAGGGTGAGTCTGTTCTTAATATTTTTAGCACATTTTATTAATAAATTATGCCTTATTTATAATAATATTAATATATCATCTTTGTTATGCGTAATTTTAATCAAATCAATTTATTTTTATATTTTACCATTAAAATTTCTCAAATAGACTATTTTATACTTAAGGCCAGTCATACCGTCTACGGTTACACTTCGTTTACGCTTAATCAACTGATAACATATTTCGTAACCGGCCAGATTCGGCCGATTAAACTTCGGTTAACTTTAATTGGAGATAGTACAACTGGCCATTAAGCTTAGGCAAAGAATCTTGTTATAAGATCTAACAGGTTAATAAAATATCATAATTTTTTGATATATTTATCAACTAAACATAGAGCTTCAAATAATTTACAAATATTCATTAAAGTCCAAATAAATAACCAAGTCTTAACATTTGAGCGATTAGTTCTGAAGTAATCTTATATTTTCTAATTATAAACCCTGGAAAATCGTGTATTTGTGTTTATTTTATGGTTCTTTTTAGATTTTTATGTATAAACAATGCTGACAAATACTTGGATGGCCCATTATGGATTACTCTTATATCCCATGTAAATACCATAATTTATTTTATATTTTTATTGATATGTTACAGGAAGGTGTTTCGCCTATGGAAAATTTAAATGAGATGCAATGTATGTGGTTCCAAACCGAGTGTGCGTTGGCCTATCAACGGCTTGGAAAATGGGGTGACAGTTTGAAAAAATGCCATGAAGTTGATAGGGTAAAATAACTTTTTATTTATTTTTACAGTAATGTATTGATATTTGTTCTGAACTTATATAGTTCTATAGGATATTAAATATACATATTATTATTTTAGTCAAATTATTAGACTAATAATTGTCTTCCGATTGTATTTAATTTTATAGCATTTCACTGAGATCATTGACGACCAATTTGATTTTCATACATACTGCATGCGTAAAATGACTCTAAGGTCATATGTGAATTTATTAAGGCTTGAAGATGTATTACGTTCGCATCCATTTTACTTCAGGGTGGCACGATGTGCAATACAAGTATACTTACATATTCATGATAAACCTCCGACTGATGCATCATCTAGTAATGAATTGGATACAGGTGAGTTTATTACTTAATTGTTATACTCAATAAATATATTTATATATTCATTTGGTATAATATTCCTTATAAGTTTTAGGAACTCATATTTTTATTAAAAGTGTAAGAATATTTCATAAAAAATGTATGTTAGTGCATTGGATATAGAGAAATTATTTTGTTAATTTTATCTAACTAAACTTATTTATGATCTTGACTTACTAAAACTATTATTCATAATAGAATTTAGTTTAGTTAAAGAACTACTGCTAAAACAATTGTTTTATTATCTAGAGCTTCAAAAGAGAATAATTTTTTAATCTAAAAATTGTTGAAGGACAATTACTTCCATGTTTAAAAATAAGACTCATTTTAGGTATGCGACATAAAATTACACCATCTGACAGGCTGTATTTAAAATGCACACTTGTTATTTACTTCATACAATTAAAATGATTATAGAATACTAATTATTTGACGTAAAAGTTATAAAAGTATATTTCTAAATAATTTAGATATTTTTTCTGATATTTGGATTGTTTCCATAATATTAATAATTGTTTCAGGTAGTTTATGGGAATAATTAAATATTAAAATATACAAATAGCAAAGATAAAAAATATTATACTCAATAATTTAAAGTTTAAACTAATGCACTATTATGTATTATAATTTATAATGTAAGAACTAAAATAAATGTATAAAACTAATCTTACAATAATATATAAACATACAATTTAATAGGTTGTGAACAACTTAAGGTATACTATTGTATAAAACCAACAATCTACTTATTATAATATTTAATATACCTATTACTAATTTATCTAACTTTAACTTGTAATTGCATAATTGTAAAATTGTAAGATCCCTGTTTGGTATTAACAATAACAAATAAAACTAAAATAAAAAATATTATAAATTATAACGATGATTAAAATAAAAAAAAATTGGATTTCGGAAATCCGGTTAAAAATCTAATTTTTTAACATTTATTTTCCGGGAAAATATACCTTATGAATTACAGATTTTGAAAACCAACATAATATAACCCAGTTTTTTCAACCTATTCAATTTTATGTATGTTTATTAGAATTAATATATTTTACTGTGAAGTGTTTTTATAGATTAATTTAAACGTTTACGTTATATTATATTATTTATTAATTAAATACAAATGGGCGTAAGTCCAAATTACAAAAATGGTATAAGATAACAAAATAACATGCAATATAGTACAAAAATGAATAAGATCTTAAATATTAAAGATTACATTTTTTCCTAAATAATTTCATGTGCAATGCGGGATGAAAATCTTGAAGTTTTGCTGGTACAACAAACAGGAACCCTTAAGTTCATTAGTGCAAGCATATATGAATATATAATAATAATGCATTCATTTAAAGTTTAAACCATAAATTACTAAGTATAATCTTTGATAATTTATTTGTTCCTATAAACTATCCTAAAACAATTTTTTTGGTACCAAAATTATTATTTTTTTAAGCTCTACATTTTCATTGATTTTTTTAATTGTATAGTCCTTTAAATGTTTATTAGTTTTGTGAAGAGTTCAAATCTGTATTTATATTATATCCCTTTTTGATCATGGGTGTAATAAAAACAAACAGAACCCTAATAAAAGAATATATATCTGGTCCATTGGTATCTGGAGATTATAGTTCTGAGCATAAATTACACACACACAAACACACACTGATCAAGTACCTTGTGCACTTATATTTAAGAATAAATGGTCCATAACTGTCCATTGTTTGATTTTTGAAGCACAAAATGTCAGTACTCTTTTATAAATTCATATTTTTAAAAATATGATTTAATAATAATACATAAACATTTACATTTAGATTTAGATGTCAAAGTTAAACTGTACTAGTAATTTTAGTACAAATTTGAATTATTAGTATTAAAATGTATAAACATAAGGTTAGTAGAAAAAGTAGACCTTATTCTACATCAATAAGTTATAAAAAAATGTATTTGTTTATTTGTTGGTAGTATTTATTAACAATAGTATTTTTAAAAATACATTTTAATACTTAAGTACTGCACAGTTTAAAATATAAAAATATTAGTATTTTCATTTTTATATTACAAAAATATTTGTCCTCCCTCCAGGTGGACTTTATATCAGCAGAATTAAAACTTAAAGTTTTATATTTATGAATCATGATCAATGTGTCTCTGTAACTCAATATTTTACATGTAGGTAAATCTAGTATGTGATCTATTTATGAAAAATAGTATATACTTTTATAATATTTGAAATTGTATTTTATTATGATATTATAATCATGTTAGCATGTTGTCAGCTTGTTTGCTAAATTGTAGGTAAGTGTAATTTCAAGTGCATACTTAACTTAAAAATAACTTATTAATTTATTTTATGATATAATTAAAAAGTAGTTATAATGAATTATTTTATTGCCTTCCATATTTAAACAGGCATTCTATTTTTACAAAAAATAAAATGTACGACATTAAAGAATTTTAAGGAAATTTTCTTATTTATGAAATACTCTTATTATGAAATACTAATTACTAATTGTAATGTATGCATGTAAAAAATACTATAGTACAATGGACCTGGGGGGCGGTATGGTAAATTGCTTATGGCACATTGGAGTACACTGATGGCTTGCGATGGCAAACAAGTACCAAATATTTTAAACTTCTTAAATCCATTTACATTGTATGTATGTTCTGTTTGCACTGTGACATGTATGTAAAGTTAAAGAGCATCATACAATATAATTGTTAATTGTATTCCCAATGTGTTTCAATATTAATTTTGTTGTTATATTTTTATATTGATACAACATTTCAATTCATTATGCTTAAAGTATTATTTAAGTATATACTTAATGTTTTATTAATAAATAAATACAAAAGTTTCTTACATGTATACACACAAAAACACAAATTGATGTCTGTTTAACTCTAATATTATACTAGTTGAAAAAAATCTTAATCAAACATTCTTAATTCATCAAATTTCATTTTACAACTAGTTGTGTTAAACAAAAATTAATAGTAAAATAGTTTCTTATATTTTTTAATTATGACACAATATTAAATAACTACATTGAAGTATACCTTAAACTTATTTCAATTCATATTAACTAAGAAGTGATACAATAATTTACTTTCACTATTACTAATAGATTTATTTCTTAAAGAATAATGCCATTAATCAAAAGTAAGAAATTAATTTAGTTCCATAATATGTCAAATTAATTAAACACTAATAATATTGTACCTTACATAAGAATTATTTCATATTACATAACACAGTCTTTTATTTAACAATATCAAATGTTTGATTGTATCATATTTATCCACAGTATAAATGGTTCCATTATAACTTTTTGAATTGCAGTTTCAATGCTCAAACAAAATGTAATATAATTAGTATTAAACTTCTATTTGACATTTCTCTTATAGTATTGATAGTTATGACTACCCAAATTATATTGTATTGGGTGTCCAGTGTGAGTTGTTAAAAAGAAAAAATGACTTCCGCTATTTCCAGGTAAATTGTATGAAACTACACGATTTAATGGTCTTTGTGTTGATACTATATATTCTGAATCAATATTTTTTGTTGGCATTGGTTGTTTATAGTTTACTTGAACATCATCAGTTAAAGATACTGGTGTCTGTGAGTATATAGATTTAGGTCGTTGAGTAAAATACTCTGTATTGTGGTTTCTCAATGGCAATGGTCTTTTAAAATGAAATTGAGCATCATCAACCAGTGATGTCTGAGGAAACTTAATTTGTGGTCTTTTTTCTACTGTTTCGAGATTTGGATTTTGTTGAAATATTGTTTGTTGATAATTCACTTGCGTGTCTTCAAGGTATTGAGTGTTTGGTACTTTAATATAGGGCCTTTGAGTGACTACTCCACTATTTGAATATTTTTGTGGCTTAAAGTTTACTTGAATCCCATCATGTATTGATGTTTCTGGAATATTTTTGTATGGTTTTTGTGTAACCAGTTCTATGTTTGGAATGCTCGATGAATAGGTTTGTTTTTGGTGTTTATTATTCATTTTATTATCACTATAATATGGTGTTTGGGATATGTGCATATACACATTTTGAGTAACATGTTCTGAATTTGGATTCTGTGTTACAAATGAAGAATCTAAATTATAATTTATATCTTCATGTAAGGGGGATTGGGTTATTCGCGTATGTGGCCTTTGAGTAATTTTTTCTGAATTTGGATTTTCAGATCTCAAAGGTTGTTTATAGTTCACATTTGTGTCTTCAAATAATGATGGCAATCTGTATAGTGGTATTTGTGTAATAATTTCAGAATTTAAATTTATTGGTGGTAATGGCTGTTTGTAATTTACTTGAGTATCATCTAAGAGTGATGGTTGATGTAAATTTAAGTATGGTCTTTGTGTAATTGGTTCTAAATTTGTATTTTTTGATCGTAGAGGTTGCTTATAATTCACTGGAGTGTTTCTTTGTAGTGAAGTTTGAATCAAAGGTTTTTTCATTATTTGTTCCTTGTTAATATTTTTAGGTGGCAAACGTTGATTGTAGATGATTTCATCATCAGTGGAATATGGATAATTTTCTTTAAAATCATTTGAATTTTCAGATATTATCTCAGTGTCAGGATTAATTTGTGGATGTTTTTCTTTAAAATTTACATTTATGTCATCATGTAAAGAAATTTGAGGATAATTGTAGTGAGGTTTTACCGTAGTTGTTTTTGACACTGGATTGTTAGTTGGCAATGGCTGTTTAAAGTTAACTAATATGTCATCAATTATTGATATCTTATTAAAATTTTTATTACTATGAGGTTTTGATTGTGATGTTACTTGGGTCGGTTTCTCAGTTCTAACTTTCTGACCAAAGAGAGCAAAATATTTTTTTGTATTTTCATCTACTAAACTGGCATCATCTTGTGTGAAAAATGCATGATATGGATTATCAGTAGCAATGTTGGGTTTTTCTGTTTGATAATTATAATCAATATCAGAGTATTGGTTATTTTGTTGTGGCCACGATTGATATTTTTGCTTTTCCATTTCATTATTGAATTGAGTATTTTTTGGGTTTTCTGACCATTCTTGAAATACATGTCTTTCTTTTTGGTATTCTGTCATTGGTTTTTGTTTATGGATTGGATTTTGAATTTGGGATTTAATATCGTACTCTGGAGCAATATAACTATACTCATAATATGGCTTGACTGTAGTAGACTTTTCGTAATTATTTTGGAAATCAAATTGTTGATTTTTTATATTAGAATCTTCATATTTATTGTGTTGAGCTGGTTTTTCTACATCATATTTATTATTTTCTTCATAATAATAATAAGAATCTGGACGACTTGTTGTATGTCCTACTGGATTTTCTAGGAAAAATTGGTGACTGGGGACATTAATTTGTTCGTTATTATGTGAATTGTAATTATTACTACTTTCGGTTGTACTAATAAGAATATTACTTTTGATTTTCAAACCTTCAATATAGTTTGGCTTGATTGATGGTATTGGAACCCATTCATTTTCTTTAGTATTATGATTTGCTTTGGGAATTTTAAAGTATGGTTTTTGATTAAATCTTGGAATTGTTTTATTTGTATTTAAGTTAATTTTTTTAGTTTTTTCCGGCTTTTCTAAAGGACCAAAGAAATTTGGTGGTGGTGGCAAAACTATTCCAGGAACTAATGGACCTGGAGGAACTCTTGTAGAATTTTCTTGAGTATATACAAAATCATACTTAGGTGGATAAAATAATGACTGATCATCTTCATCAAATGTTGTGTTTGGAAGTGGTGGGTTTTGAATTGATGGGAACGGAGGAGGAAATACCGGATTCCAAGTAGAACCATTAATTGATACAAAATCAATAGGTCCGTTGTCTTCCAGCTGTATTGGAAATGGTGGAGGTATTTTAGGGTTTTCTGGTATTTTTACCTGTCTTAATGGAGCAATAAAATTATCTATGTATGACCATTTGACTTTTTTATCACTAAAATTCCCCCCTCTTAATACAAGTAAATGATTCTCTGCCAGCCATATTTCATCAGGATCTAACCCTCCTAAATTATTGATGTTGTCCTTTGGCACTTCAGGATTTATGTTGTAACTTATAATTCCAGGTCTTGATGGTATGTCATTGAATAGTTCTTTATGTATAAGACCATACTTGCCTTCAAAAATTTGCTGTGCTAATGTTTTATCATCATCATTGGCTGAATTGGATTGATCCACATTTGTTAGGGTTTGACCATTCTCTGCTGGTAATAAAATTTCTAACACAGGTTCCGCTATGGTGCTTGTTAGTAATATTATTTTTAATATCACATGTGGCAGCAAATACATCTGCAAAGAAAATGTTATAGATTAAAATAAGGTTATTTATGTAATTTTTTGATTATTTGTATGAAACAACAGGAATCACGCACTTATGAGTCTTGAATTAATTGTTTGACTTCACAGTTACGTAACATCATACAGCATTAAAAATACATATCATTATTACAATGCATTTTTATGATAATGAAACTAAGACGTGAAGTGTTTTTTGGAAGGAATCACTTTTATAGTAATATTTTAAATTTCGTATTATATTTTGTCATAAAACTATTTAAAAATATGTTGCTTAATAAAAAGAACTTTTTAATAGTTTTTCTGGTTAAATGTTAAATTACTAACCTTAAATATGTTTACCAGCATTTGAAATCCAAACATACATACTCAAACTAATATGCTTTCAATTTTAATTTATTAATATTTATTTTGAGTACCTACTGAATTGTATATTAAATAATAGGTTTTACTAGTTGGTCTATCAATCTATAGAACTATTTGATTTATTTTGTTTAACTGGCCAGTTTTTAAATGTAACAATAGTTCAAAGAACAAATAATATTATGAAAAAATATAAACTCATCAGTGTTGAACATGTCCAGGATACTGAAGGGGCTCAAAATTGTTTTTTGAATGCAATTTAAAACAATAGGTACTATAATGTTTTACTGATTTGCGTCAAGGTGATTAATGAGGGACACCTTAGTTTTAAAATCCTGTCTATATCCATACTTTTTTTTTCTTATTTCATAATTCCAATATACTGTATTTTTTAATTTATTGCTACGCCCATAAATTACTTCAGGATAACTTATAAATACATTGGAATTTTGTAGACAAAAGAGTTTATTATAACTGGTTAACCTTGCTCTGGTACAAGACACGATTTTAGTACTATTTGACCTACAGCAATAATAACCACGTAATTACTCTCGGGCAAAATACTGTAACCAACTTTTCACCCGGGTTAAACGTATTTTTATACATTGTTTATTATGTTATTTTCTAGATTGTATTATATGCATTGTATAATATAATGTAAAAATAATTAGTCATCCATTAAAAATATACCTACGAAACTCCTATATCAATATTACCCGATTTTCCTGTGAATCATAACAATATACTGTAAACAAGAATGAAGAAACCAATTTAATAAAATGTATTGGTACTCTTCAACTCTTGGTACAAGTCAACCAATAGTATTCACTATTCTGTATCGTAAAAATAGCCTATTTTTGTACTTCGGTTAAAATCGTGTTAACAAAATATAAAAGGTTTACCTGTTTATAAAAATAAAAGTTCTCTTTACGCATGTATTCATATATATACATACATACATACATACATACATACATACATACATCTAGGTATACATACATACATACTCGAATAAATGAATGGTTATATAATGTGAAAAATACAATTTCCGTTACAATAATATCCAATTCATGTCCTCGGGTGTCCAAATATAATCATTTGTGTAATTGTGTCTTTTGTTAAAATACTTATATTACATTTGACATAACGGTATTAATTTATATTTTATTCATTTTTTCCATTGGTATATTTTCGTGTTCCGTAACGTTTCATTTATTATTGTAACGATAAATGATTTATATGTTAGATGACCAGTATTTTCGTATGTACTATTTTCCATTTAGTAGGTAGTCAATATTTCACTGGCGTAAAATAAAAGTACTATTCCGTGTTCGATTAGGTGGGTAACATTTGTTTTATTGAATAATATGCTTAGATACACGTGTGTTCGTTAAAATGTAATTTTAGACGTTTTTTTTTTTTTTATTACCTTGGTCCAAATAAGATGTATATTTAAATATTAAATATATTTTTATTATGATTTACTTAATCATAATAAAAATAATTAATACTTTTTAAAATATCAAGGAAAAATATTTATTTATCTTTTTAGTCTTATTATGTATTTATGTATTTATGTAGTAACAATGGATTTAAAAAAAAAATGAGTGGATTCGCCATTGTTCAATGACTAACTATTTAATTAATATTGATTAAGGTTATCAATTATAATAATTAAAAAATACAAATATTAAATTTGCATCGATCTTGTTGAAATATCTTTCTTAATCTATTGTTTTGAATGCTTATTATACTAATTATCTTATAGTGCCTACAGTACTAATTATTACCAATTTAATACCTAGGTATTAGATATATTATATCTATGTAGTAGAAAATAAATTGCATATTAGTTATTATTCATTAATATGGTTATATCGTTCACTATTTATTTTTTTTAATGAAATAAAATCAAAGATATATTAAATAAATGAAGTCTACAAATGAAAAATTAGATCGATATTAAATTACATCTTCACGAACATCGGCTTAAAAAAATATTAAATTTTTTTAACTGATTTTTTTTATTATATTACAAAACCTAGTGTAATTGTTGAAAACTATTTTATTGTTTGTTCGTAAATAATTTGTGCAAGTCTAAAGTGATTAATAATTGTATCTTTCATATTGATTGTTTTGTATGATATAGTTGATAAACAAATTAGTTTTTGTCCTTGTAGATGTTGTTTACGCCTTCTCTATTATACACCTCTGTCCAATTGAGCAAAACAAATCATTTTAATCTTTGCATATAGTCACTATATTATAGTGGGCAATATCCTTTTTATGTAACTCCTCCTCATCAAATTATTATAAAATACTGAATTAGTCATTATAACACAACGCCTACCCAATCCATGTTATGTATAATTTTACCATCCACATAATGAAATCAATATCGATTACTTCAGAACAGTCTGAATGTGGTATTTTAAGAACGTAACTCACATCTCCAAAATTGAACTAATAAAATCAAAATTAATTACGTATTTACGTTTAATTCGTGTAGGTATATATTATAATATATTTTATTTATAAGCAGACTATCTATAAACTAATATGTTACCAACTTATTATTCGGATACGGATTACGTAAACTTATTAAAAATATATGTTTAGACAATACTTTTTCAATTTAGGTAAATTAATAAACAAAGTTTTTTTTATTGATAAATTGATTTATCTATCAATACTCAATAGTGGATCAATTACTTTTTTATTTATTATTATAATTACCTATATATTTTCATATCATACCGATAAAATAATAATATAATATTATGCTTGTGCCTATTTGTGTAATAAAGTCGTAACTTGTAATTGGTAATTAAATAATACATTTTCATATTTTATAACAAAACAAAAAATAACTATTTCATTATAAGGTACTAAAATTAAATTTGAATTTTACGAGTTTAATACAAATAAATTATTAAAACATCTTAGACAGTGTTAAAAGAAGTAGGTAATTAAATAAAAAATAATTTCATATGTAAAATTGTATTCAAATTTTCGAAGTTATCTTTGTAATACATTAACTATTTTTAGATTACATTAATTACAACTAAAATGTTAACTGTACGTACCTTTTAATTGTATAGATGTATATTCCAAATAAGCAGTTATTGAAGTGCCCATTACACAAAAATTATAAACTTAAACTTTGAATGTAAAACAAACTGATTTTTAAAAACATTCGTCATGCTACATTTACGTGGTGTAGCACGACTTCACGGCATAAACTGAACACATGGAGTGCACGCAGAATACTAATACCATAACTCATTCATGCAGTTTTGCTTTGTCGGTAGGAGAAGTACCCTCTGGCTGAGGGAAAGTTAAGCGTTTGATTTAGGAGATTATAATCCTTGTTGTTAATCTTTATTATTGTTTTACATTTCTGTATTTGTATAAAAGTATTAAAATAATACAAAAAATACTGCATTATTAACGAACATTTAGTACGACTTAAGTATATAAATATGGATACATTTTAAAATTATGATGTATATATTATATGATATACAATATAAATATTAGAAAATCTTCTTACTCGTTTTTCTTTTTTTTTTTTATTTATAATTAATGTCCATCAATTTTTTGTATCTATAAAAAATATTTATTATTATTTAAAAAAATTATTTGAAAAAATTAAGGTGTATTATAATTTTATATCTTAATCCTATGCTGCTATGCATAATGATAGTTCTAATAAAGTTAATAAATAATGCAATTTGCATCCCTGTAATACTATACCTTATTTTGAATTTGAACCTTAATCTACAATTTATTTGATTCGTGACATGATCCCCTACACGATTCCATATATTCGACGATTAAGTATAAATAGGTTTATATTTTAATTTTTAAACGATAACTCTTGATTGTTTTGTTTAATATAATTTTCGTTTTATCGGGTAAAAGTTATAACTATAACTACCTAATTAGAAATATTTTTAAAAAAATTAGACCTAATTTAGAACTACTATTAAATAGATTTTATTTTATTATACTTATATATTTTATTTAAATTAGTAATGATCAGGTTAAGTTATGAGACAAGTATAAGCCACACTCGTCTCGTTTCGTAAGCGCAAGAGATCATTGTATTATTATTATTTGATAAATTATTGCATTCAAATTTCGGATTTGAAGATTTCTATAGTGAATCTCCTTACACAAATATGGTAAAAATGTTTAACTAAATTACTGTGTTTACCTTTGTTTGTAGTTTTTAAATTACGTTTTTCAGTAGTGATAATTTATATTATATTACCTAATATGATATTAATTTTAGAAAAAGCAGAAGTTGAAAATGTATGTTTTTATATCTACCCCTTGACTTAATGTGTCTTTATCAAATATCTCTAGATACCTATCCTAATCTTATTAAGTGCATTAACATGTTACATTAGAATTTATTTTTTTTAACATTACAACAGACACATAACTGGCAAAAAAAACCGCAAAACAGGTGTGGTGAAAGTTTTACAAGAGGGCGCGGTAACTTTAAACTAGAGCAACTACCAGAATCGTGCAATGGGCCTCGAGCCATACACGCGACCAGCCTCCTTCTTTTTATTTTTATCAGGATCTATATCACCTTACAATGGTCAACTTGATTTTCTATG